CTCTCTCTCTCTCTCTCTCTCTCTCTCTCTCTCTCTCTCTCTCTCTCTCTCTCTCTCCCTCTCCCTCCGTCTTCCTCCGTTCCTTCAAAAACTCTTTAACCCTTAACCCCTCCGTCACCCCTTCCCCTCCATGGCCTGTGACTAACCTACCCTTTCCTGTTACATTGCCAGGGAACAAACAGAAAGGAACTTGGTCCTCACTTGGTGGAAAGCGAGGGCAAGGGGAGGGCTGCCGGTCCCTTGTGCCACCAAGAAGGAAAGGATACAAGGCTATTGAAAACGTTTGTGAAAGCAAAAAGGAGTGTTGTTTTTGGACGAGGTCAGTTTGACTCAACCACCTCCCCCGACCACGTGACTAAGGGGAATGCGTGGTTTGCTTGAGGGAAGGAAGGGGCGAAACAAGGGATCGTAAAAGAGCAAGGGAAACTTAGGATTGCGGGAAGGGCGATGTGTTGACCCCAATGGAGATTGTACTTGGACATTTGTCTTATGTGGTCTTGCGCAGGTGAGTAGCTTGGGACGATTCGGACGGGGCTGGATCCACGGATGAGGACTAGGACGGGAGATTGGCTAAGGGAAAGGACTTGGACCCGGCTTAAGCCGTGAATGCGGGTTGAGTTGTGGCCGGCGTTTTGGCGGGTGTGTGATGCATGGACTCGACTTGTGTGGGGTTGCATGGAATGTCTCTCTCTCATGTGCAATGCGACGCCTGAAAAGACTAAGGGCGGTTTTGGGTAGGTGGATGTGACGCTAGTGGCTCTCGCAAAAAATATATCGGCTAAGGGTCCGAGCGTCGCCGCCTCACCCCAAGGATGCCGTCGTGGATAGCTTGAGCTACTAAGCTTAGTGAAAAGGTGCGTGGCCCAATGGATGACGCTTGGCCTGCGCACGGTTAGAAGACGAGATCTCAATGAACCCCCTGGACTGCTTGCGTATTGGAAGGAGCAATTGCCTGATCTGACTTAACTGAATCGAGAAAACGCCGCGAGTGCCAAAAAGCTACCATCTTGACGCGAGAGCGGAGCTACATCCCCCAATGTAAAGCCCTCTCGCAAAAAGCCCACCCCCATCCATCTCAAAGCACTAGGTGGGGGTGCCCCTAGGACGAACGACCCGCGCCTTGAGCGTGAGCGTGGGCAGGTCAAGCCAAATGGGACCCGCAGTGGGGTCAACCGAGGCTCGAAAGTCCTTCAGGGTACGACCCCTACAAAAACGGTGGAGGTGCCAGGTATGGGTTAAACTGACCCATACGGTCTCGAGGGGGGCGCCCGACGCATGACCGTTAACATAAACGTGAAGAGAAGGAATGAGGACTTGGGTGTGCTCTATCCCTTTGAGCGAATCAGATTTGAGGGTGGCTGGGCGCATGGCAAGGCCAGGCCTGGAGGAAGAACATGCATGCTTGCACTTTTTTGATCAGCCATCTCCTTTGAAGATGACTCTAGTCCTCCTTCCCTTGGACTGATGTTCGTTAGGTCAGGGAAGCCTTAGGCAAGCCGCAGGTCGATCCTTCCTCTTCGTATGAAAGAAGGGTTCCGTTTACCTGGCAGGCGGTTGGGATTTCGGGCCATTCCTGGTTCCAATGAAAATCCCGCGGCGGAGTGATCCGACCGACCTGGGTGCTTCTCTTCTCCCCTTCGGAGCCCAGCGGGCTCCGTGCACCGCACTTAAATGCTTGAAGGGACCTCATATGAACACAAACAGTAATCGAAAAGGAACAATCCTGCCCTATGAACGGACACACAAGCAAAGATAAGGGAATGAAGGGAGTTGCTAGACTCAAAGAAAAACTAGCTCACCTTTGAAGATGCTCACGAAAAGGAACCGGGCACTATGTATGGAAGTTAGGGGTGAGTGGCACGCACTGTCTTGAGTGAAAACCTGTGAGCAATGGGTAGGAAGCGTTGGGTGCACCTGGGGAAAGACACTTGTGTTATGTGTGTCCCACTTGGGGCTTGTATTTGCATGATGGGGATTCGAGCGTCCTGCCTTTCGGAAGGAAAGGATTGGTTTGCGCCGGCCGGTGCGAGATGCGGAATGGTCGTCCTCTTTGAAGTTCACTGGGTTCCGTGTGTGGAGGTCGGGCCAGCGGGCTGTCAGGCAAGGGTTGGTCTCGTCGGCTGATTAGTAGCATTCTCACGCGAGCGGTCCGAGCATGGCTCGATGATCTTGCCCAGGCGAGGTGTGAAACGTCTTCAGGCGGGGCGGCTGCTTGTCGGCAGACGGCAGGGGAACCGCTGCATATGGGGCAAGGAAGGAGCCTTGGAGGCGATTGAAAGCTTCTCGTAGCATGGCTTGGAAAAAAAAAAAAAACTGATTCTTGTCGGAGCGATGGAAGTGAATGCCTGGACGGCCGGCTCCAATAGCCTCACCGAGATGTGCGGGGTGATTCCCGAGATTAACGGTGGGTACAGGAGTGGCAAGTCGGGATGGGGTATTCTGGGTAAGGAGGAAAGGGCGAATGCCTTGCCGAGACCTGGGTACCGCGCTTGCGACGGTTGAGTTGTGCTGGAGGTGTGGGCTAAAACCCTGCCGATAGTAACAGTGGAAAGACCATTTTTGGGGAAAAGGTCGGTGAGGAGGTGACTGACCTGTGTGCGACGTTTGCCTGGGTTTTGTTTTTTGTGCCTCCCTCTGTGAAGTTGCCTGATGAATGGCGGATGGGGACCGAGCTTCTAAGTTTATTCTCACCTCCAAGACTAAGTCCGCACGAGTGAGAGAACATGAGGAAGAGGCTGGATAGGAGTCGGAAGAAAGTGGAACCAAGAAAAAGGAATGCGGGCTACTGGTGATCGTTTGGGGGTATGGTAGGGCAATGGCACTTGGGAAATGGATAAGAGAAGTTAGGGAGACCCGGATGAGGGGTCTGAAAACAACTCCCATCTAGAAAAGGAAAAGCAGACCATCTGACCATGAGGGGCCGTGTGGTGCTCTCATGTGAAAAACAGGACAAGCGCCGGGAAACAAGATGGCGCGATGGTTGTCGCCTCCTGTCCACTCTAGTGGTCCGGAAATGCCTATAGAAGTAAGGGATGGGGTATCTGTTGTTCTCCCGGAAGAAGGGACATGGACCGACCTAGAACCAGCCTATGAAACCGTGATGCTGGACAAGAAGGACGCGTTCCTCTTGATAGAGACAATCTAGACTAAGGTCAGCCTGAAAAGACTCTCACCTAGCTTGATGGACCTAGAATTCCGGGGAACAGTGGAAGCTCGAGGATGGATCTACCTATCTCAAGAAATGGAAAACGCAATGGTAGTGGGACTAGTATTGGGCACGGCACCGGATCGGCTGTTTAGGCAAGCGGAACGGGAAGTGGTGTGGGCAGCATGCCAGCGGGCAGAAATGGAGATGGAAAGGATGGAGGTGCGAGTGGAACTCGGGGACCGGAAAAATATGAGACGCCCCCTTAGGACAATGAGATGCGTGCTACCCCTATTTCTGGTGGATGCCATCTTTGGGACCAGGGGTAGATTGGAGCGGATATGCCGGTCGATGACGCGCCTGAGGTTGTACCGAGGTGCTAGGCAGGACTTCTTTAAATTGTCGGTGGAAGCGGGGCCGTTCGAAGGAAACTGGGCGGAAGAATTAGCTGAGGTGTTAAACCTCCTCAGCGTGGACGAAATCTTTGTTCCCAGCCCGGTGCATTGGCAGATAGTTTACCGAAACGTGGCAGCAGGGGAAACCTTCTTGGAAGGGGTGAAAGAGATGTTCCTAGCCGAGGAGGAGGATTTTAGTGATGAGGAGGACGGGGACAAGATAGAGGACTGGGACTTCTGAAGGGGGGGGGCTTACCTGGGGAAAACGGGTTGTCGACTATGTGCAGGAAGGGAACGATGGCCCAGGAACTCGAATTATGGGACTGCACATGGAAACCAAGACGAACCGGAAGGGGAGTAGAGATGTCAATACCGCCAAGCAATGAATGGAAAGGGACCACATGTGATTGGCGGGGGTATGAGATTGTGTCGGAGCTATCGTACCTTTGGATAGAGCGTATCTGGAATCCGTTGAGGGAAGAGGAAGGATGGGAAGAGATTGCGGAAGGAAGGGTAGAATCAGTTGGGACGATCGTTCTCTCGGAACAGGGTTGGCACCTGTTCTGCACGACGCTCGCGGCAGGACAAAACCCGATGTGGCTTTTAGGGGACGCTGAGGCAAAGGCTCGCCAGGCGGGGGAAAGTTTTGCTAACAAAGGATGGGATACAGTCAGCAGTAGAGTCGTGATGGGAGGATGGAAAGAATTCAAACCGTCCAGCGCCCGAATCAAAACCTGGGTACCCGAGTTCGTGGCAGACTGGTTTGGGGGTTTTGATCCTGTAACAGAGGTAGTCGACACGATGGAGCGAATACACGTGAATTGCACATGGCTGGCAGGGGAATTCTATAGGACATCCTTGAAATACGGGCCCTTCCACGGCGATAGAGCCCGGGAGCTCCTTATCATTCTGGATATCGAAAGGAATGACCGGCAGGAGGTGGCCCCGGAAACTAGGGAGGCCATAATCCGCCGTGAGGTAGCAGCAACACCTTGCTATGTGGATGATGTGTTCAAACTGTTCGAAGTACTGTGGTTCGACTAAGCGCAGGGAAGCTGTGGAGCCAGACAAATACGGCAAAAATTGCTAAGATAAGGGAATGGGATGTCTGGCCATTGTAGTGTTCAGCGTGGATCGCGAGCCGGGAGATCAAAGGCGAGTGCGCGATGGCACGAAGAAGGACGTTCCTTGAGGAGCGCCCCTTGGGCATTGAACCGCCTAGGGAAGTACAGGGTGGGATAGAGGTTAGCTTGCCGGCAACAGGCGAGGGATGGGACCAGGTGGCGGATTGGGTCGGGATCGAGCTTGCGGAAAATATGGTTTATTTGGTGACGAAAGTTGAGTGGCGTGCGGCTGAGAATGGGGAATGGAACCTGGACCCACGGGGGCACGTGCGCGCAGAGGGGCGGTTGTATGTGTCAGAGAACGGATGGAGGGAGTTCGAAGTTCGGTTGGCATCAGGAGAAGACCCGTTGAGCATGTTTGAAGGGGCATGGCAGTTAGTATGGCAAGCGGGATTTGAGTTCGCAGATCCGGGGGTTGACGATGTAACAGCGGACCTTAGGGTAGCCATGGTCGGGAGTTTTGAATTGCCTAGTGAAAATGTACGAATGAGGCAGCCGCCCTTCTTGCTGGAAAAACTGGGCGGTTTGGAACTTGTTAGACAAGCAGTAGCCGACCTTGCAAGCCTGACATACGAAGAGGCGATGGTACATCGAGAATACTACCGGGCCTTCTTAGAAATGGGGCCGTTTAGCGGGGAGCAGAAGTACGAGGTGTTGCACATCCTGTGTGCTGTGTTTAGTACTAGGCCGAGGGTTCCGGTCATGGGAAGTGAGGTCCTGTGGGGTGTCGTCCGACGGGAAATAAACCGAGGGATGGCGTACGTAGATGATCTGTACCAATTGTATGAGCGGATGGAGGAGGGAACAAGTCGGTAATAGAGAGAGGGGAAGGAAGCGCCAGGCTAGGGATCGGTAAGTTGTTCGGGCGAAAAATTGAAGACCAAGTGGACTAAGCAAACTCGCATGCTGTTTAAAACTGTGCAGGGGACTTCTAAGTCGGAAATGGTGATGAGACACGCCTGGATGCCGCAACGACCCATGCACCCGCAGCCACCCACGGAAAACGGAGGTGGATGGGAGGTGTCGCTCCCAGCAAGCTACATGATTCAAGGATTGGATACCGAGTGGAGAGCCGTGACCCTGGGAAGAGGTCAGGCATTCATGATGGTGGAATGTTTGTGGGATGGTATGAGAATTAACAGGGGACCGGGGGACGATCTGTACACCGATCTTAGGGTGACGGGGACCGTATACCTGCCTGAACTCGGGTGGCACATGTTAGGAACGGAATTGGCACTAGGTCACGGGTTGCTACCAATCTTCCAGAGGGCTACTAGGGTGTTGAACAGGGTGGGCCAGGAAGTGCGGGAAAAAAGAAACGTGGGATTAAGAACTCGGGTGGAGGTCGGAGGGTGGCGAGAGTTTAAGGCTCCGATGACCGGGTTGAGGTGTCGAGTACCCCGTTTCATGGTGGATTTGGTATTCGGTAGCCTCAAAAGAGCTAGGGACCTGGTGGACTCGACCCTGGTCTGGATCCACCTCTTTCGGCCACAAACAACGAGCATGTTCTACGATGTGTCGGTCAGATATGGGCCGTTCTGGGGGAATCAGGCCTGGGAACTACTCGAATTACTCGAGATCTTAATATTCGGATTGCCCCACCTGTCGTTTGAAGAATATGAGCCAATAATTATCAGGGAAATAGAGATGGGGGAAAATTACCTCGCTGGGTTGGCTGACCTGTTCGAGGAACCGGATGAGCAGGGCAGGCCTGAGGGACCAGCATGAGAAAACGCGTCAGGAAGAGGTAGGGAAATAGAGGATGGGTACTAGGATAAGTAAGCTGCCATCAGCAAAAAGAGGGGCAGTGGTTGGAGCTCCGTCCGAACCGATAGCGCGGCAAGGAGGAACTAGGAAGACCACCCGCTCCAAGAATTCTGGGGCACTCGGATGTCAATAAG